CAAAACCAACTTGGTGATGCTCTCAATGCCATCAAGGTACATGCGCCCAAAATCATGGACTACTTGATTAGACGCACTGATACGCCTTTTATTGATGATAGTACCAATTACCCTCTACCTTCAAAATTCAAGATGCCCACCATCGAGATCTTCGATGGCACCAAAGACCCCCTCAACCGTCTTGATACATATAAGTCCCTCATGCAACTCCACAACGTGCCTTAGGAGATTATGTGTAGAGTCTTTCCTACCACCTTGAAAGGGTCTGCCCGCAAGTGGTTCTCCAAGATCATACCCTCCTCCATCCGTTCTTTTACAGAACTCAGTAGGTTTTTCGTCTCCTACTTCATTGGTGGACGCCGACATCAAAAACCAATGACCCACCTGCTCACAATCAAACAAGACAGGGATGAAAGCCTCAGAGACTACCTTGCCCATTTCAATGAGGAGGTGCTCCAGATTGAGGAGCCGAATTAAAGGTAGCCTTGGCTGCCTTTATTGCTGGTCTTCGCACCTCCAATTTTATGTTCTCCGTACTTAAGAAGTCGTCCTCCAACATGCCCGAGTTGTTGTCTAGGGTACAGAAATACATGAATGCCAAGGATGTCTCTAAGGCCAGATGAAGTGAGTTCTCCCATGGGGGCAAGAAAAGGAAGGACGCTCGCGAAGACAGGTGGGAGGCGGAGAGCCAGAGAAAGAGAACCAAAAGAGTCTCTATCAAGGACCATCTTGGTCCGTACCCCCCGAGAGAATGAAAGCCTTTCACGCCACTCAACGTCTCAGTGGAGCACATTCTATTCCAAATACAGGATGACCCCATGCTCCACTGGCCTGAAAAATTGAAGTCCGCCCCAAATCGCAAAAATCACAGTAGGTATTGTCACTTCTACCGCGACCATGACCATGACACTAATGACTACCATGAGCTCAAGAGGCAGAACGAGAATCTCATACAACGTGGCCAGTTGAGGCAGTACGTTACTGGCAGAGACAAGCCCTGCCACCTGGCCGAGATCAGGATGACAGAGATCGTCAGCAACCCTTCGGAGAAATTCAAACGATCTCTTGAGGGTCAGGAAGAGGATACGACTCCAACTCTGCCAGGGAAACATTGGCCCACCTATGGGACATCAAACGCTTGAAGATTTCATCTATCTTTCATCGTTTCAATTGATTTATTTTGTTATTCATTATTTTATGAAATAAAACTTTACATATGACCTAACAAAAAGGTAGACAAAAAGACAAAAGACGCCCAACCTCAGGCTCCTAGCACCAGGAGCCTAGCACCAGACGCCTATCACTAAGCGCCAGTAGCAGGCGCACAGACGAGGGGTCTCGCCCTCTTCACCTTGGGCGCCCCTATGATGCCGTTAGATGAGCTCTCCACCTTGGGCGCCCCTATGATGCTGTTAGACTAGCCCTCCACCTTGGGAGCCTCCTATGATGCCTAGACGATGAGTTTCGCCCCCTCTCACCAGGCTTCCAACACCTCAGGCGCCCAGCTCCTCAACGCCTTCCTCATCTCCATAGAATAAGCCTCTGCCTAGTAGCTATCTCAAGTGCTAGTTGAAGGTCAGCCCCTAGATGGGCAGCTCTTTCGTGTGCTAGCCTTAACTGCTCAGCCGTATCCTTTCGTACCTGTTGCTCGAGCCCTACTGCTCCGTGGCATCCTCTCGTGCTTGCCACCCGAGCCTACTTGCTCCGCGACATCCTCTCGTGCCTTCCATTTGAGCCCTTCTGCTCCATAGCATCCTCTCGTACTTGTCGCCCGAGCCCTACTGCTCCGTGGCATCCTCTCGTGCCTGTCACCCAAGCCCTACTTGCTCGACGACATCCTCTCTTGCCTGTCGCCCGAGCCCTACTACTCCGTGGCATCCTCTCGTGCTTGTCACCTAAGTCCTACTTGTTCCGCGGCACCCTTCATGCCTGTCGCCCAAGCCCTACTTGCTCTTTAGTAGCCCTTGTGCCTGCCTCTCTGATATCCTAGAGGTCATAGACCTCCAAAGCCTCTTGTTGACCAAAGTCAAGTCAAAGTAGGACAGTTATGTAGAGCTACAGTCCCCATAGAAGACTACACATGAGTCTCAACTCCTACAATAGTACAACAACTAGCTCGGGTACACACATGAGTTCTAACCTTTGAAGGAGCGGGGGCACCACCGGATCTTGGTCTTAGGAAACAACCTGGCCATCAGACCTTGACCGAGAAACACCGGGGGGCATCAAACCTCATCCTCTTGGGAGGAGGAAAAGAAACCACCCTAAAAATACAAGAGAGTCTCCATCATCGCTCTGTTAACAGGGCGCCTATAATTATAGACAAGGTCAGTTAGTGACCAAACACCAGAGAGGTGCCGCCCATATCAAGACTCAAGGCATCCTTCAAGCACATCAGTGCCCAAGACCTCCTAGCGTCACCCAAGGCGCCCTGTCAACATCTTGGCGTCTCCCAAGATGCCTGCCCACCTGTCTGGAGCCCATTTGCTTGGTGCCCACCTACCTGGTGCCCGCTTGCCTAACACCCATCTGCCTGACAGCCGCAGTAGTCTCCACTGTCGTCCAAAAAAAAAAGCAAGGATGCCAAAGAAAAAAAAAAGAGCCAGCGCCCAGCAAAAAAAAAAAGAAAGAGTGAAAGAAGGGAGTCAGCAAGCCAAGGAAGAAAGAAAGAAAGAAAAAAAAAAGAGAGAGAAGGAAGGCCAAGGGGCCAACGCCCAAGGAAAGAGCCAAGAAGGAAAAGAAAAAAAAAGAGAGAGAAAGAAGGGAGTTAGCAAGCAAAAAGAAGAAAGTAAGAAGAAAAAAAAAGGACAAAGGGAGGCCCACGCCAAAAGAAGAAAGAAAGAAAAAAAAAAGGAGAAGAAGACAAAGGACAACAGGTCAGCGCCCAAGGAAGCCCAAGAAGGAAAAGAAAGAAAAAAAAAGAAGGAAAAATGAAGACAAAGGGCCAGTGCCCAACGAAGAAACCAAGGAAAACAAAAAAAAAAAAAAAAAAAAAAGAGCAAAAAAAAAAAGTTTTTCGATATCGGAAAGTTCAGCAAGTCCCCGAGGATAAAAAGATACCGTGGGAAACAAGAAAAATTCCGACTCACCCAAATGAAAATGAAGCACATGCCCATAAACCCTTCCTCATGTAAAGAACTCAGAGGCTTGGGGCATGGTGGACAAATGATAAGCCTGAATTTGACTGGGTCAAACTCAATCTAAATGTATCGAGAAGGCTCAAGAAAAGTTTAACCAGGGCTGGATCAACCGAGGAGTCCAAGTCACAGAAGCCCAAAGGGAGTTGAACTTGCTTGTGAATCAACAAAGAGTCAAGTGGAGGCAAGACACCAAAGGCCAACGCCCAAGGGGGCGCCGCCCATGGTCAGGTCCTCCTGGTTCTTCCTCCTTTGTCCTTCTAACTCTAATGCAAGCCCAAGCCTACTCCAATGCAAGTTCAAGGTGAAGACCAAACCTAGTCCAGCTCATGATCTTCCTCTGATTGAATAAGAGCACGAGAGAGAGAATGTCGAAATGGAGATCTAATTTAACTAAGATTGTACTTACTAAAATTATGGAAGACCTTTTTCTCACGTCACTGCCTTGGTAAACCTATATAATGAAAGTCCTCTGCACATAGAGAGCATGCCTCATCACCTTGAGATTCCTACACATACTACACTTTCCTACACACATTACTCTCTCTCTCTCTCTCTCTCTCCCTATAAGCACTATAATACTCTTACAAAATACTCTTTCCAGTGACTTCACTCATTAATAAAAGATTCATGCCACCGTTGTCGTTCCCGAAAGTGGAGTAGGTTACCTTGACCGAACCACTATAAATCTCTGTGTTGACTCATTATTTACTACTTTAACATTAATTGCTTGTTTATTACTCATTGATTGTCTCTGTTTATATTCTTGACTGTTGAACTTGCGCATTATCGATTTGTGCATCATCAAAATTTTATGTAGAAAAATTACTTGAGGTTTATGTAGGGGTATTTTTGGTATTTTAAATTATTATTTTTTTGGTTAGAAATAGTAGTTTAATTGTAGGGTGTGTTAGTGATGTTTAAATATAAACTAAAAGGGGTTTTATTGTTTTTTTTTTATAATAGAGGGGGTGTATTTAAAGATATAATAAATTAGGAGGAGTGCAACTGAAATTTTTCTAATTTGAAAAAAAATTAGTTATCCTATTTAAATAGTTTCCCGGATTTTCCACAATAAGCACAAGTGAATCTGCCGAATGAAGTTGTAATTGATTAACTTTTGTATGATGATTGCTCGCCAACCTACCCTCAGGTCTCGTTCCTTTGGAACCTGTTTGTATTTACCAACTCTGTCAAGAGACTCAGATGCTGTCAAGAGTGTCAATTTTGATAAACCCATGACTCTGGGTGGCATATTCAAGAGCATTAAACTTTAGCAACTGCAAGCATCTGAATGGTGAACAAAATCCGATTGTCCATACCAAAAATCTTATAACTCAATCAGAGGCGGAACCAAAATTTTATTTTGATAAATCTAATAATGATAGAAAAAAATTTAATTCAACGAGGTTATTTAACGGTTACTGTTAATGATAAATTTTTATTTATAAAAAATCTATTAAATTTAATTTTTATGCAATGTCATTGAAAAATTAATTTTGAGCACAAAACTCAAAAATTGGATCATGTTATCATAAAAATTCATTTATGACAATATTATCATTTTTTTTTTCTTGTTTATAATCTAACTTTATGTCTATAAATAAATTACTAAACTAGGTTAGTTATTTTCTTACATGGATAGAGTAGTTACTAAACGAAGTGCAAGTCACTCCCATACATGTTAAATTATTATTAAATAATGATATCACGTGATAAAAATTACCGGATTTTACTGTAAGACTGACTTGGGCTGAACTGCACATAAGACGATCCATCGTTAAGAAATAGGGAGAGTAGACAATGGGTTGTCCTGGGCCTCACTGACTATATTGGCAAATTGGGAATATTTTTTGGGCCAAGGGTCCATATTCCACTAACACCCTGCTACATAACTTCCGCCTCAACCGTAACCCTAGAATTCCCTGTCCTGCTCTCTCTCTCTCTCTTCAAGAAGTCGAAGAAGCAACAGGCGTTCGATCTGCAAGACAACCAGAAATCTAACATGGGTAAAGCTCAAATCCCTCTTCTGTTCACATTACAATGCTCATATTCAGTGCTCTTTTATAAATTTGTAATGTTTAATTTTGATTGATTAACTCCATTTGGGGTTGTGATTTTGATTGCAGGTAAGGTTCACGGATCACTGGCTCGTGCCGGTAAGGTTAGAGGCCAAACACCAAAGGTGGCCAAGCAGGATAAGAAGAAGAAGCCCCGTGGTCGTGCTCACAAGCGCATGCAGTACAATCGACGTTTCGTCACCGCTGGTAATTCTATCTTCTCCCTTCAATTTCCATCCTTACACTGTATGTGATTATAATAAGTATGTATATGATTGTATATATATATACCTATCTGTATGCATAGGATTTTATATATCCTGTAATTTTTTCTATGTATATTTTTCGTGATTATATTGTTGTTCTTGATCTGCTGGACAACCTATTACTGTTAATAATTTTAGGGTTTCTTTCATAGTCTTTTTTTTGGGGGGTCTAATTTCAGTCTGTTTGGTTGCTGAGAAAAAAAGAAAATGTTATAAGTGGCTTTTGAGGATCATTTTCTATGTTTTCTTGGCCGTTGAACTGATGTACTATGTTATTTTTAGAGTTTCAAATTTTTAAGGTCAACTGAATTTTGTAGCAAAATCTGTATGTACTTTATGTGATTAATATGTTTGTGCTCAACAAAACCGTGATATTCAATGTTTCTGTGGCCATCAAATATGGAAAGATAATCTTGAATGAGGCATATTGTTTGGAACAGTCAAGTGTGTCTTACTCCCAGATTTCATTCATATTTTTTGTGAAACCTTTTTGTTGGGAACTAAACTGAGAATGAAGTGAGAAATCTTTGAAATTGAGGGCCTGTTTGGTTTGTATCTAAAAAAATAGTAATCGAAAATAGTTTTTGAAAAAAATTTTAAGAAAGTATTTTTGAAAATTTTTAAATTGCAAAATCTGTTTGGTTGTATATTTTTGAAAATAGTTTTAAAGAAAAAAAAATTGTAAAATTTTTTTGGGCAAAAATCCACAAAACTCACAATTGCCATCTCTATATTTCTCTCCCCTCTCTTTGTCTTCACAAAACCCACACACGCACACATAAACACATACACACACAGACACATAGGAATACACACACGCGTGCACACACACGCATGCACACACACGCACACACAGATCTAGATCTAGATTCAGATTTGTGCTTCAGATCTATGTAGATCTATACTTTAATTGTTGCGAGAGAGGGAGAGAGAGAGGAGATGGAGATGGAGATGGAGACGCTGGGTTTGACAGCGATCTTCGGTGCTGCTAAGGGGACAACGATCTTCGGTGGAGAAGAAAATGGAGATGCTGGAGAAGAAGACACTGGAGAGAGAGAGAGGAAGGAAAAAAAAGGACGGAAGTCTTTTGCTACTAAGGGGACTCGAAGGGCGGAGCTCATTAAAGACCCATTTTTGTTCTCCATATTTCCAATGTTTTCAAAGAAAACTCATAAAACAATCCTGGTTTGTTTCTTTTTTTGTGCTCCAAATCTCATTTTTTTTCAAAAAATTTGAGAACAAAAATGCCAAGTAAATAGGTTTTAGGTATTTTTGAAATTTTGAGAACAAAAACATTTTTTGGAAAGCAAACCAAACACGCCTTAAATTTTTTTTAATGGTTTCGGTGACTATGTAAATGTTGTTATTGTGTTGCAGTTGTTGGCTTTGGAAAGAAGAGGGGACCAAATTCGTCTGAGAAGTAAGCTTGAAGATGGGTAGCTTATAGGTGAAGATATTAGTTTATCGGATGAATTGTTATTTTGACTATGTGATAGTGTTTTAAATTTTTGGAGTTCACTTCTATTTGTCTCTATTTTCCCGACTAATGCTTATTTTGTTAGCTACAATTTAGAAGTTTTAATCAAATGTGTTGGATTTAAGTTTACAACGGGTTCTAATATTTGTTTTTGCCTGATTGTTTGCTAGACTCTGGAATTTAAATCTGTTAATTTATAATTCCATAATTTGATGGCTACACGATTTGCACTCGGGCAATAATTTTCCCATCATAATTGTCCTGAAATAGGCATTGGTTTAATGACAACATTCTATTGGTTTATTCCTATGTATTTCTGGAGCATGCTTGGGATTTCAGTGGATCTGATGTTCTTCCATTAGCCCTACCCCCACTTGGTAGCAATTTCCTTCAAAATCACCAGCTGAATGGAATAATAATGGTGTGATACGCAATCCAAAGGCTATTATCGTATTTGTTACAAAGCTTCAACCAGAATTGGAGCATGTAATATGAAGAGATATATTGCAGGGATCTTACACCAGGAGAATAATTCAAGGCAAACAAGTCGAGAGGCATTTTTAATACTCTGCCAGGAATGCTTGATGACAATGTGGACAGATAGGATAGGCCTTTGAAGGACCCATAAGGGATTGGCATGCTTTCGGGAAGAACATAGAATAGCAGAAGATCCACCAGTGAAACACGGCGATCATTATAAATTCATGAATTAGAGACTCTAATACACTCTTTCCCAAAACTTCTCATACGGACCAACTCACTAAAATGCATAGGATGGTTTCCCATATTATTTCTGCTCACTAGATGAATGAAATTATAGATATGCATATATAAATCACCACGAGCTTATGAAATATATGATTTGTTCGGATATGGGATTGTTAACCTAGATTGAAAATGAGTTAATAGTACAACTCTTGAGCTCTTGAAGAGCTGCAATGTGGAGGCATACTTCTACCATGTGATGGCCTGTCTGCAGCAGCAGCAGCATTGGTATTTTTGGTCCTTAATCATCAGGTTAATGCTATGCATACAAAATTTTTTTACTAAAATTTTGTTCCAAATGATGTGACAGTTTTTCATCAGATAAGGTTTTCCCGTTGATAATCAATGATAAAAATTGTGCCATATCATTTGGAATAAAAGATTTGGTAAGAAAATTTAGTAACATTTTCCTAATCATTAAGCATAGTCGGCATTTGAGGTAAAAGATGGGAGTAGAGGGTGCAGTAGACCTATATTTCATTCACATAGATGTGTGTGTGTGTGTGAGAGAGAGAGAGAGATAGAGAGTCATATGTACAGACTAACAAAAGGAAGTTCTTTCATTTACCTAAATAAGGAAGTTCTTTCAACGGGTTGTTTTGCGGCAAGCTGAAAGGGATCAGAAGTGTGATTCTTCTCCAATATTCTTTCTACGACCCAACAATTTTCTCTTTCTAACCAGTGGGCATATGGCTCCCCCAAAAGCCAGATGAAGATGGAACAGTGTTCCACTTACAAGGCTCACTTAATGTTCATGAAGGTGCTTGTTTATTCTTAACTAAAGTGTTAAAGTATCCAAGATTTACTTTCCTGGATGCGATCTAATATGACACTGTCTTCAACAGATTTCTCGTCATTAAACAAAATTATGCCAGAGCAAATACTAGAATATCAGGATCAAAACTAGAGACTGCATTTTCCCACAGAATATGGAAGATCAACAAGAGACAAAGAAATTGAATATATTACAAAGCAAAGCCATTTTGGAATGGATTAGCAAAAAAGACTGTTAAACAAGTCCTACTACAACTGTGACCAGGCAATAAAGTTCAATCCCCATTATCTATCACTGTATTGGGGAGAGGGGAGGAGTCCGTCAACAATTACGGCGGGTTTTTCGGTTTTCACCTGCAGTCTGAGCTTGCAGCAGTGCTTCAAAATAACAGAAACCTCAAAGCCCTTTACAGTTCATCATGAGAACTTCCCTTTGGTGAAGAATATTCAGGTTGATGTTCAAGGAGATACCTTGTGGCCAGTGATGCATGTAAAGCGGCGCCATAGGGAAGCACATCTTCGTTTACTTTGAAGTGATGGGAATGCACTGATGGAAATGGTCCCTGAGCTTCATCTTGCATTCCGACATGGTAGAAGTAACCTGGAACCACCTCTGCAAAGAATGAGAAGTCTTCTGTTCCCATCAGTGGCTTCATTTCTTTGATGTTCTTGGTGCCCAGCATTTCCCCGGCTATGCTTTTGAAGTGCTCATGCAAAATTTTGTTATTAACTGTGACTGGGTAAAAGGGCATGTCATCTTCATGGAAGTTAACTGTTGCATTGCACCTCTGCACGGCAGCTTGTCCTGTTATTACCTGTCCTTTGCATTTGCAGAGAATTAACCCCCATGATAAGACATCATACCAAAAAACAAAGAAGAAGAAACTCAAGCTGAAACCGAGAAACTCATCAGTAAAACAAAACTATAACTTCTCAACACTCAAATGTACCACTTTTAGAAAATCAGGAGTCCATATCAGATGCTACAAATAAATTTACCACCCTTTTTTTTATAATATACAAAGAAATTTACCTCTTTGATTCTTTGTTTCAGCTGCATGAAATTTTCTTTTGAAAATGCCCTGAAGGTTCCACCAATTGTGACTGTATCAGGGATAACATTGAATGCACCACCACCTTGGAATTTTGCAATTGTCACTACCTGAAAGATCATGCCTTTATTTCTGAAATTTGTAACTCTGGAAAAAATCAGAGGTTATTCCTTTTTGAGTCCAGATATAAATACGTCCCCTGTTCATTTGGCTAGAAACTTAAAAACCCATCCACTTTCTAATTGCAAAGTTTTGAGCAACACATTCCTTTATTGGACACCTCGAAGTGGAGTAAATATTTAGTATTACGGTTGCACCAATGTCAGCAATGTCAAGTGGTGTCACCATCTAATAGGAACACAGCAACTTGGGTAAATTGAACCACACTACCTTATACATGAGGTGGTTATTAGGTTACATGGAAGGGTAGTTAATGAATTATGTAGGATTTACTAGCTGATTTGTTATGTTTCTGTTGGACGGTGACACAATGTGGCGACGATGATGCGGTATCAAAGTTACATTGAATATTTTCTCCTTGAAGTGATAGAAGAATAACTAATTTCCGCTGTGCTGCTGTGTGTTATATCACAGTTCGTAAATGTGGATAATTGGAAATCATAAGATGTGGAATCAACTTTTAAATTAAATTTACTTACTGGGAAAAAAATTTAAATTAAATTCGTACAAACTAGTCAGATGAAGATCTCAAAGCACAAACAAGCAAAGTCGTGGCTTTTGCAGGAACAAGAAAGGTGTCATATAGTGACAGATGGTAGTTAATAAGAAGTTAATTCATTTGATTTGTGGGGATTAAATACGAGAGATAAACATGTTCAAAACTGATAGGCTAAAATGCATACACAAGGGTAATTATGAGACTTACCTGTGAATCCAGGGGATCGGTTTCACGTGAAACAAGATGTTGCAAACTAACAATCACATTGGAGGCTGCCAAGATTGGGTCTATTGTGTGCTGGGGAATGGCTGCATGACCCCCCTTTCCACTAATTACCGCCTCAAAGAAACCACTACCAGCCAATATAGGACCAGACCTGGCGGCAACTACACCAATAGGATAGCTAGAAGAGACATGCAGCCCAAAGATGGCATCAACGTTCTCTAGTATCCCAGCATCTAACATTTTCTTTGCTCCTCCCCCTCCCTCTTCGGCTGGTTGGAAAACTAGAACGATGGTTCCCTATGAAAATAAATACATAAATAATGAAACTTTTTCTCTATAGAAGACTAAATTGCAACATTGTGTATCACCAGGCAGATAGAGCAACAAACTGAGTGACATGTTTCAGAATAAATGTGATATATATTGATCAGAACTTCCATTGTGTGAAGCTTATAGAGAGGAGGCATAATGAGCACTTGCAAATGACTATGTAACTGTACAAGACACTAGTCACCAAATTGTTGAGTCTCGTGATGCAGCACCAGATAAGTGAAAAGGAAAAAAGAAAGAAAAATTCCTATTTCAATTCTTAGTCAATAAGCAAGGGCAAAATGTAATCATCACATTACTTATAATATAACCAAGTTACCAATTACCGACAATTTCTTACCATTAGTGATCTAGGAAGGCCAATGGAGCAAAGGTGTTTCTTTTTTTGGTCGTGCACTCATGCCATGAAGTGAAATTCTACGTATGCTAGTCAGCGAGGTTGGTGAACTACTACAGTCTATAGATTCCCTGTCTATATCCAATCCCAACGAGAATGGAGGCGAGTCACTTCCGACTTGGCTTTGTCCCAAACGAAGGAGGCATTCTGGCAGGTGCATGCGTGTAGGAAGGCCGGCGACTATATGCTGAGTCAGCAAACATGTTTAGAATCTATATCTAGGGGTAGATCTTCCCTGGGTGAATATGCAACTGTATTCAAATCTACATAATAAATCTTAAAATTGTCAGTTCTCTCTGCTAATGATCCATTTCTCTATTGGATTAGCACCAAGTACAGCAGATGTTCTCATTTGTATCTACAGTTCTTAAAAAACTGTCTTCTAACTGTAAGGGAAAGATGAGATTTCCCATGACCTTCTTAATGCATACATCATGCTTCTACGTTGCTGGGAACTCAGCACTGCATCAACTGATATTTCTTCTGTCTTCTTATTTCTACAAGCCTATTCTAATAGCATACTTCACATCTCTCTCTCTCTCGCTCGCCGTGTGCATGTGTGTCACAGCCACAGACACATACTCTAACACACACGATCATCACATCCACCCATTAGGTAAAATGACATTGAGTGGGTTCCCTAAATCATTAAAAATAGACCAGGGGAATATGCATGAATAATGCAAATAACTGGTCAATTTTCATAAAGTCCTGCAAGTCAAGAAAGTGCTTAGTTCAATATATTTGAGTAAAAAGAAGATCAACTTCCAGTTTTGCTGGGAAACCCACCTCTATAGCTCATAGTGGAAAGTCCCATGAACACATGAAAAGCCCATTTTTTTCGTGACAGAGCAATTTCCCTTCTGACCAGCCCACTTTTCAGTGGCAACTTGTCAAAGTCTTTTTAATTAAAAAATAGCAATTTAAGAATCACAAACAAAATTTATCATTTCAGCACAAATTAACCACAAGAAGAAATGAAACATGTCCCCTCCTGCCAAGATAAAGTGAGAATGGTGATTTGTTTCGATGTGCCATGGAAACCAAAACAATTCATTGACATGTTATGCATACATAAGTTAAGATGCATTATGCATACATAGGATAGGACCCATAAATTTCTTAATTGAATTAGCTAAAAAGCAAGAATAATAAAGGAACCTGTAAATCATTCCGATGCTCTTGAAGCATCTTTGCCGCACCAAGAAGCATTGCAACATGAGCATCGTGTCCACAAGCATGCATCTTTCCAGGAATTTTACTTTTGTGCTCCCATTCTACAGCCTCCTGTATCAACAAAAACACCCATTAATTTTCAACAACCCATCTTAAACCAGATTTACATAATAATCAGCACCAACTTCCAAGTTCTAACACTGAACAACTATTATCAACACAATGGCATCATCATAAACTTAGCAAAGCTATATTTTTTGGCCAGTCCCATCAACTTCACGGTTATACTGCTGTATTCATGGCAAGTGTTGCCCAATTGTACTACAGTTCCAGCAACAAAATCATTCATTTATGCTTATCATCATCTTTGTTTAACCGACTAGGTAAATATTGAATGATCTCATGGATCTTACCATATCTCTAATTTGATCAAAAAAAAAAAATCATATCTCTAATAACAAGACGATTGGAAATTTGCAATCAACACAACAATTAACATCCAGACAAGTCTAACAGAGGGCAATAGTCCAATACAGCCGCTGGAAACTTAAAATATATACACAAAATAAACGTAGAGAGTGAAAAGTTATACTAACCTTCATGGCTAAAGCATCCATATCTGCTCTGATAGCAACAAAAGGTGGTTTGCCAGTCCCAATGAAGCCAACAATACCAGTGGTAGCAATTGGGTATTTATAAGCTATACCCAATTTATCCAATTCAGTTCTAATAAGCTTACTTGTCTCAAATTCCTCAAAACCAAGTTCTGGGTTTTCATGTATTGCCCTCCTAATACCCACCATCCAATTCAAGAGCTCTGTTTCTTTGGCCAAATCGAGGAACTTCACTGGAATTTCAGTCAACTTTTCTTTGGTTAGAAATGAGTTTGACCAAGAGGATGTTGGCACAAGCATGCAAAGAGTGAAGAAGATCAAAGAAACCCATCTGAAACCGTCCATCAGATTGTCTACTGTTTCACTGGAAGTTGAGTTGACTGAGAAATTGGAGGATTTGGAAGAAATTTGTGATGGGGGAATCAAGAGATATAGTGATGGGCCGAGGGTACTTTGTTTGTCTTATTATGATGGGAATGACAATGACATCGTAACGCAGGGCTAAATACGGTGCAACTCGGGCGGTTTGAACGAATTCGATAATTAATCATATTTCAATACTTAGGTATACCATTTTTAATTTTAATTTTAATTCTAATCCTACCTCAGGTTGAAGAACTCAACTCGAGCATTGTCCGAGTTTAATTCGGGCGAGTTCAAGTTAAATTCGAGTTGATAACTTTGGGCTAATTTCGAATTACTTTACGGATTCAATTCGGATAGAGTCCAAAATAAACTTGTTGTTCTAAACCTAATACATATATTACATAATATTCATTTAAATTAACAACCAATAACTTCAACCAAGTTTTTAACAAGAGAGGCTAAGAGAACGAAAAAGACAGATAACGATAGAACAAAAATAAAAAATCAGTGCTAATGCTTTATATATATATATATATAAATTTTTTTTTAATTTGTCGGGTTCAGGTTGAACTTGGGTTCATGAGACCTTAACTCGAGCCCTACCTAAATTGAATTTGGGTTAGGATTTTTTGACTCAAGTCTAACTCAAGTATTAAAAATTCTTACCCAAACTCTAATTTTTTCGGGTTGGACTCGGGTTGAAATCGGGTTGTCTAACCCGAGTTGCACCCCTAGGGCTAGACAACGAAGTGCAAACGTTTCTATTTCAAGTGACAGTGTGACCCGTGGGGACCTCATAATTTACCGAAAAGTACAATGACATTTCAAGAGGTTAACCGACTGGTGGACACAAAGGTCGGAAGTTCAAAAGTCGCGTTTTTTTTTTTGCCTAACAAAGAGGGAAAAAACAATGAGATCTCAAATTGGTCCAAAGATAAATGAGGGTGGGGGTGATCGGAGAATATACTCAAATGTAAAGGATGTCATTATAATACTTCAAAATAGATTCTGTCTAGTGAAATATAATTCTGATATCACTTATTGATTTTGAACATCAGATAACTAAGATAAATAATACTTGTTGAAAAATAAGAATTCAAAAATAGAAAAACAAAGTGGTTCGATACAACGTACCCACTTTGGAACACCATATCTACATGTATGGACATATTCACTAAAAAACTGGCTATCTGATAATTGATTAAATAAGACAACCCCTATTTATGGGGATAAAATACTGTAACCAAATCTTATTTAAATACAATTTGATCTTTATGTTTGTTATCACATGTCTAATATACCTATTCGTGGTATATTAAAACTCTTCCAATTTATTTTCTATTTAGTTAGGTCACTAATAAACATATCAAAGGTTTATTAGGACTCTTAAATTGATTAGCCAACAAACTCTTATTTATGACAATTAGAGAAGTTGAGTCAAATTTTGATAGCCTCCCTTTAACCAAACTCATGTCTAAGATCGAGATTAGCACCCTTGATTTTGATCCACCAATTTTTCAAGCACAACGTATAAACTTGCTTTATGAGTCGCCACAATCCTCTCTATCTTTTAGGAACTTGCGTCTTGGTTTGCGCCATCTATACATCTCTGCTTGTGGCACACCTATTCTTGGGACAAGCATGGTACTACCAGAGATTCATCGAGGACTTCTCTCGACTAGTTGCACCTATGACAAGATTGACGCCGAAAGGGGTCAAGTTTGAGTGGAATGAATCGTACGAGAAGACATTCCAGGAGTTAAGGAGGAGGCTTACTTCAGCTCCTATTTTGATAGTCCCGAATAGGGGACAGATGTACATAGTGTACAGTGATGCCTCCAGAGACGAACTTGGATGTGTATTAATGCAGTCCAGGAGAGTGGTGGCTTATGGTTCTCGACAATTAAAGAATCACGAGCAGAATTACTCTACGCACGACGTGGAGTTGATGGCCATTGTCTGCATTGAAGGCTTGGCGTCACTATTTATATGGTGAATAGTTTGAGGTATTTTCATATCACAAAAATCTGAAGTACATCTTTACACAGCGAGACCTCAACATGAGGCAACACAGGTTGATGGAATATTTGGAGGACTATGACTTCACTTTGCATTATCATTCCGGTAAGACAAACGTGGTGACTGGTGCACTCTGTCAAAAGTCACAGGGAGTCTTGATTAGTGTAGTTTCTTAGGAGTGACAAATGCTCGAGACTGTGGGATAGTTCGAGTTACACTACAAGGATCAGACTCAAGGTGTTTTAGGGAGTTTGGTGACTACTGACTACGCCCTCCCTATTGAGCAGAGTGATCAAGTCCCAAGGACAGAACCTAGAATTATTATCCATCAAGGACCGATTGCAGGCAGGTACCGGTGACAAGAGATGAGTCATTCACTCGGATGACAGTCTTCAGTATAGGGGAAGGGTTGTGGTTTTCCAGTTAGCAAATCTGAGAGAGGAGATTCTTAGGGAGTTACATTGCTCCCAATTTGTTGTACATCTAGGTGGCACAAAGATGCACCATGATCTTCATCGCCAGTATTATTGGAGCAGAATGAAGAGACACGTTGGGAATTTTGTCAACAATATCTCACGTGTTAGCAGATCAAGGCTGAACACCAAAGACCAGTGGGGTTGCTCTAGCCTTTGGAGGTAGTTGAGTGAAAATGGGAGTATGTCACAATGAATTTTGTGACTCACTTGCCACGGACATCGTGGGAACATGATGCAGTGTGGGTGATAGTGGATCGACTTACGAAGTCGACACATTTTTTGGCAGTACGGATGACCTTCACACTTGAGGAATTTTGCAGGTTGTGTATACAAGCGATTGTCTGGTTACATGGGGTACTCGTATCTATAGTATCGATCAAAATTCCAGATTTACGGCTCATTTTTGGGAGAGTTTCCAACAGGCTATGGGGATACAGTTGATGATGAACACATCTTTTCATCCCCCGACAGACGGTCAGTCGGAGAGGACCATCCAGATAATAGAGGACATGCTACAGGCATGTGTCCTAGATCTTAAGAGTAGTTGGAAAGAACAATTACCCATCGTGAAGTTCTCTTACAACAACAGTTATTAGACAAGCATTCAGATGACACCTTATGAGGTACTATACGAGAGGCCTTGTCATTCTCCTGTGTGCTGGATAGAGGTGAGAGAAAGATCCTTTGCGATTTTGAATTTGATCAGAGACACCTCGAAAAAGGTGGACTTGATACGGAAGCGGCTTCTCATAGCTCAAAGCCGGTAGAAGAGCTACGCTGACAGACAACAATGACCTCTAGAGTTTGAGGTAGGAGATCACGTCTTCGTGAAAGTGATGCCTAAGCGAGGGGTGGTCAGGTTCAAAAAATAGGGAAAGCTGTCGTCGAGGTTTATCAGGCCCTTCGAGGTACTCGAGAGAGTGGGTACAGTGGCTTACAGATTGGCGTTACTGCCAAATTTATTAGGTGTTCACACGGTGTTCTGTGTCTCTATACTTCGAAAGTATACTCCAGATCTGACACATATAGTGGATTGGGGTGAGTTGATTGTTGATGCGGATGAGACCTTCGAGGAGGAATCGGTGCGTATCATGGATAGTCGGGAGCAAGTTTTACGAGGTAAGACTGTGAAGCTAGTGAAGGTACTGTGACAGAATTGAGGTGTGGAGGAGGCGACGTGGGAGTGTGAGGACACCATACGTACCAATTATCCATTCCTATTCGAGGATGGAAATACATTTCTATAATTTTAAGTGTAATATTAATGTTGCATATGCATGCGGTTAAGTGTGTATGTGTGTGTGAATTTCAGGGACGAAATTCTTTTAAAGGCGGAAGAATGTAATATCCGGGTAAATTTGAACTTTTCATAAAAAGGGTAAAACGATAATTTGACACTACGGTACAGGTAAAAAATTTGAATTTTTCTAAATCTCGGATGATAAAAAGGATCTCATCGTTGAATTTGTCTCGCGAAATCTAGCTACCCTGTCAAATTTCATCAAATTCTGAGATAGTCAAATTTTTTACGTTTTACGAGGCGGTCGAGTTTCGGGTGACTCAGAAACGAGATTTTTAATAAAATTTTGAAAGTTAAAAAATAATTTAAGGTAAGTTAAAATAAAAATATTTTATACTTAAACCGTAACGAAATTTAATCATTTCAAGGCGAAAAATGGATCCGGGTAAACAATATCGTGTGACGCAATGTGGGCCAATTAAATAAAGGGTATAAATAGGAGAAAAATCTGATTTTTTCCCCTATTCATCAGCTGGTTCTAATGTGAGAGAGGAAGAGAGGGAAAAAACTTGGATTTTCACCTTCTTTCTACGATCTACGGAGCTCGGGTGCCCAAATCAACTTGAGCTAAGAATTAAAGTCGATCTCCTCGACAAGGGCTACGCGGCTATACCAAAAAGCGTGGGCTTTACTGAAGATCAAGGAACGTGATTCTAGCTCGTTTTTGGGGTCTTGGAGTTTCTTGACGTTGTTTTACGTTTCAAGAGGTAGAGTTTCTTCATACTTTGCTTTATTTTCTAACCTAGGGTGATTATATAAAATGGTAGGTTGATAGAGTTATATATCACTTGCCTCTTGTTGTGAAAATGATGAAATGAGTATTAAAAATGGGTATAGAAAATAGTTTAAAATAAATTCCTAGCTTGAAATTAATATGTGGAAATTACTTGTGTAATTCCATGGAATTTAGTATTATGTGGGTATGTTATGTGTTTATATTATGCCTTTGCAAATGAAGTATGTTGCTGACACATATTATGTAATAACATACTTGGGATATATTGTTGGATATAAAATGTTGATGTATGTTTATTGACACATTGATATTTTGTAACCCACGAGACACTATATCATCATTATTGGGTTTATGTCAGCCCAATAGCTCTCAAACTATTAGAATATCGTGACTTCAACTCAAATAGCTTAAAATCCTAAACAAATATCTTCAACACAATACCCGTGGTAATTCTTGAAATCCAAACAATTTAGAAACAACTTAGTTTCCCATTTGGTTTCATACCAACTTTAAATTTTTTTTATGGATCCAAACAAAAATATGCATCAACTAATTTTTCGAGATTATGTCATTAATGTACGTAAGACGAAATCAATCTTCACACCACGTCATACACACATGACAAGATAGTCTTCTTCAATATGAATAACAACTTGATCATTGAAGCGCCAACAACTTGCTCTGATTTTTGCACTAAGATCGTCAATCTAGCTTTGATTACTCTACAAAAATCATTAATCTAGCTCTAATTGATCTACTAGGATTATCACTCTAGCTTTGATACCACTTGTTGGAACATAATTTTAATACCACTTGTTGGTTTTGCATAGCGGATAATTAATACAAATAATATTTGGTGGAAGATAAAAATTTAAAAATAGGAAAAATAATGTGGTTTAATACAGTATACCCACTTTGGTACACCATACCTATATTTACAGGCCAAAAATCTACATCGATGTATTATTTATTGAAAAACTTGTCATCTGATAATTGATGACATAATACACACCCCTATTTATAAGGATAAAATATTGTAATCGAAATCTATTCAGATACAATTTGATCTTTATGTTTCCTATTACATATCTAATATAATTACTCATGATACATTAAAACTCTTCTAATTTATTTTCTATTTAATTATATCACTAATAAATCTATCAATGGTTTATTAGGACTCTTAAATTAATGAGTAATGTTATATGGACCTAAAAACTAGATTTAAAAATTAGACTTGATAATCTCAACCATTGAATAGGTAGTAGGTCCCAATAAATGCTGGGATCCATAGTGAAATCGATAGTTCTAATTATCAAGTCTAATTTTTAAGTTTACTTTTTAAGTTCATGTAGCATTGCTCTTAATTAATTATTTAACAAGAGTTTGAGTCAAATTATAACATTGTCAATACTTTCTTTTTCAATGCCAAAATCTATTTGTTTTTACAACATCAAATATTAGTGACTAAATTTTTTGAGTTTTTTGGAGGTCAGTCTCTAGGCTCAATAGGATTCCACACATCGTCAATTTTTTTTGGATTAGGTCCCTGTTGAAAAGTCAAAGTCATAAACATTACTAGCACTCTTTAAAAATTACAAAAATAATGATAATTTCATCACTTAATTAAAACACATATTTTAAAAAATTATATCATTATAATGTACATTTTTCTCCATAAATATAAATCGTCAGTCAAGTACACTAAAAAAATATACAAATCGTCATACATGTATAATTAAAAAAATAAAAATATAGCTTTTTCTCTATAACAAAGATCGTTAGACAGGTACGTTAAAACACAGATCATCAAATAAATACGTTAAAACACAGGTTATCAGATAGGTACGCTAATACACAGATCTATAAATCCACCTTAACATGACCTAGTTTTAATATGACGAAGGAAAAATAAAACCCTAAAAACTAACAATATAAAAAAAATCCTAAAAACTAACTACATATTATCAAACCTTCAAATTCAAGAGCTCAGAAACCCATAACAAATAGTCAAAACCCCTTAAAAATCACTCCACTATATTGAAACCCTAAATCGAGCTCAGTATAAGCAAATTAATTTTCCTCAACTCCTTTAAACGCTCATTTATACTCCTTTCAAAATTTTGTCTCTTCCTTAGCAGTGAAATCATTCATAACATTAAATGTCTGACGAACATGGTCGAAGGCGACTGTGCTTTGAACGTGATTTCCACTACCCAACGTGGACACAAAACTCTGATTCAGATCATAGAGTATCTCAAGAAGCACGCAGATTCAATGATTTCAAAGAAAAATATGAAGAAGTTTGATTCCAATTTTGTTGAGAAGGAACACAGATCGTTAGGTTGAAAATCATGTGATGATAACAAAATGGGTAATGAAAACACAATAATTGTCCCACCTTTTACTATTCGTGCCAACACAGGGATCGTATGTAAGTTTTTTCAAAACACAAAGGACTTTTTTTTATACTAAAAATTTGATAGGACTGAAGTTAGTGTACACACCAAAGGAAGGACGCTAACCTAATTAAATAAAATTTTTATTACTAAAATATCTTATTCTGTTTTTTGGTTCAACGGTTAAGAGTGTCCAGATTAGCTTACGCACACCTCGACTATTCCCCATTGTGGTCTAGTCAAAGGCATACCATTTTTACTAAAATATCAATGATGACCAATAAGAGCGAAAAAAATCAATAGGTTTTTGCATATTAGGGTCGGGCAAATAATATTGAAAGTAAAGTTTGGATTTTAGGTCTCAAATTTTTAGAAAACTCCATAATTTAAGTTATATAACAAGCCTACAAAAAATTAAATTTATTAAATTTTAAGCCTTAAAAAAATCCCTAAAAATTAAGTCTAATAAAAAATTTTATTGTAATAATTTGGCCCATGATTCAAAACATAATCTATACTACTTAAAAATATTAACATAGTTGAATTTTTTTTTTCACTTTTATCCCCTAATAATACAACTATGTCATCCTTATCCTTCATAATTAATGTCACACTCCTATTTTGTCCTTAAATGATCTTACAAAGACAATTATGTCTTAAACAAAAAATTTGACTTAAATGTAAAAAACTTTTGAGTTTCTAAATTTTTAAATCTATCATAAAATACTGCTATAAATTCACATTTATCATGTCAAGATTTATGAAAAAAATTTAAATCTCCAAACTCTCCTTACACAATTGCATAAAGAGAATTTAATATTATTTATTAATATTTTCTCTGCCTTTTAATTTTTTCAACCCCCCCAAGAGAAGCTAAAGAGATAGACCTTTTTCTATACCCATTTAATTACCTCAGTTAGTGAAACATTTCTTGTTTTTTGTTTGGTGAGGAGAAAATAATAGGGAAACAAAGAAGGAGGAATATATATACATACATATACATGCTCTCTTTAAATACAAAAGGTCTATTTTGTTAGAGGGTTCTGATTAGATGCTAATAGTGTGTTATTGTTCTTTGTTCTTTTCAATTTTTTTTTATTCATTTTGCATGGTTGAGGCTTTATAATTAGTTAGAAAGGTTGCAATGTAGAATTTGAAAAGTTCCAAAGTTTTTTGAATAGATTCTAGTGCATGGCAATAAAAGAGATGCTACACAAAATGCCACGAGTTTGAACGCATCAACAGGGGCACAGGCCTATAAAGATAGATAAGGTCATTGCACAAATAGAGTGAACGAGATTTCTTGCATACTCTAAAATTTTAGTTGCTGCAACTTTATTTTCTCGAAAGTTTGGTAGTTACAAAATAAAGGCCGGCCAAAACAATATATTCAGCATCTCTAACTATTTTGTTAAGCTTGGCTGGTCTTGGACATGTAGAATAACATAAAAATATTTTTGATATCTAACATCATTATATATTCAATAAAAACAAAAACATATAATCCGTATTGCACCAAATAAGCAACAAAAATAAAAAATACAATTCAAAATGATTCATGAGCAATATACGTGTGCACCAACTAATATTAGAAACCTAAAAATCAGAAGTTAAAAAACAAAAAAAATATTTAAAAGTTAACTTATATTTACTCCCACACATTCTCTCTCTCTCTCTCTCTTATAAAAAAAAATTAAAAAATAGAAATAAAAGTTTAAATTAAACACACACTCTCTCTTTCTCTCTCTTGCATAAAAAAATAAAAACAAAAATTAAAACCTCTTTTTTGGTAATACTAGTACATCTTTCTTCTATCACTGTTATATAAAAAAAAATATATTTTTTAAAAATTTAATACTAAAAATATAAAAAAAAAATCTCATTTAATATTTTTATTTTAAACCTCAAATTGTCTTGAGCTGCCCTTGTTACATATCTATCAAGTGAAAAATTTATCTCAAATGTTACTCCAAATTGTTTTGCATTTAGAATTTTGAAATAATAATATCTAAAAGTTTACCTTTGAAATATAACAATAGATTCATCAATCAAAATTTGATCAAATATTCTCTAGTTACGTAGAGCAAGCAATTAAATTCTCATATAAGACTTTCTTAGAATTGTTCACAAAATTTCTCTCTATTCTTTCAAAAAAATATTATCTATTTTTAAAAAAATGTCTCTAAAAAGAGTAATTTCTGTACCATACATTAATACATACAAACTTTTTTATTTGAAAATAAGAAATGCCACATTTACCATTAATAATCATGTAATATAGTTGAGTAATGTTACGTGAACTTAATAATTAAACTTAAAATTTAGATTTAATAATTACAATCATTAAATAGATAAGTAATGAGTTTAAATAAATACTGAAATTCGTAGTGAAATCAATAGTTTTAATTATAAGTCTATTTTTAAAATTCATGGAACAGTGCTTAATGTAATTTGTCAAATTAACAAAGGGTATCTTCGTTATTTCACAAGCTGTAAGACGTGGTTGCCGTGTGGACTCCGAATCACGAATCACACAACTCAGAAAAAGGGGAACCCCCGAAGGCCAGCGCTTACCTTCCTTAACCAACACCTCTCTCTCTCTCTCTCTCTCTCAGCGTTCTTTGAAGTTTCCCCAAGCTCGCAGCTCCAAAATTGATACGTCGTGATTAATCGATCGATCAATCGATCGCTGACTTATTGAAATTTAGAGGTTTGTCTTTTATCATTGCGTTCGTACAACGTATTGAGAGATCAAACTAGGGGTTTTATTATACACTAATTCTGCAGATTTTGTGAATTTACAGGAGATCCAGAGTTTTATTGTGTCGAATTAATCATGTTTACTCGGATTTTTGGCAAACCTAAGCAAGAGACCAATGCTCTTGCGACTTTGGATAAGTTGAACGAGGTATGATCACCAGTTTATATATAATGTATATTTTTTTGTATGTGCACATCCTATTTGTCATATTATAAATATTTTCAATTATGATATATGCGATGGCTTTGTTTTCTCAATTATGATATATGTGATGGCTTTGTTTTCTCAATTATGATATATGCGATGGCTTTGTTTCAAACCGTGGTGTAAATACTTGCAATTACCGCAAATATTGTTGAGCATTTAAATTCTAACATATTTCTTCATGCTTTCATTAAGATGCATGATACTGGAATGTTTGAAGACACTCGCTAGTGTATTAATCTGAATATTTAACTCTTTACATTTTTTAGACACTTGAGATGCTTGAGAAGAAGGAGAAAGTACTTCAAAAGAAGGCTTCTGCGGAGATTGAAAGGGCCAAGGAGTTTACAAAGGCAAAGAACAAGAAGGGTATGGATTCGAATTGCATGTATTTTGCTTACCGAGATGATTAATTTTTTGGGTTTGTTTTATTGCTTTGATGCCAAGATAGTTGTGCTTAAATTTGCTTTTCAATTTGCATTTATGATGTCCACCAAGTATATGGATTATAGTTATCAAATCGAGTTTTGTATCGGGAATCAAAATCCTAAATTTGTGAATCAGGAATCTAATTGAATCGAGAATCGTAAGCAAGGTTCAAAATATCAATCGAGTCGGATACAACTCGGAAGGCGTCGATCCGATAACGATTCACGATTCACGATACAAGACTATCACGAGTTTACCATGAATTGGTTCTGACTTGGGCCAACTCGGTATTACTCGGGCAAACTCGAATTCAACTGGGTCCAACTCGGATAAACTCAGCCGATTCACTTTCGAATCGAACTAATACAGACAGAATCGTCCAAGCAACAAAGAAAATGTCAAAAAAAGGGCAAAAAAAATGAGAAATTGAACCCTAAATCAGACTTTTTTTTACCATAATAAAAACAAAACAAGAAAGTTAGAACAAAATTGAACACAAATTGAAAAATTGTGGTAAATCTCCCTAATCAGAGACCCAATATCATCGATTCGCAGATTGAACTTTCCTTCTTCTTTGCAGTTCTTTCTTTTCTTCTTCTTCGCAGTTCATTGATCAACATCATCGATCAACATTGCAGACCCTAGGCTGCTCGACGATCAAACTACTCGATAGCAAAAGACCCAGCCTTTACGATGAGTCTCGAGTAGCAGAGACCCATCATCTCTGTGCTCTCTCTCTCTCTCTCTCTCTTTCTCTCTGTGTGTGTTCGTCGAAGTTGAGAATTGAAGAAAGATACTTTGGGTCACACGAGCCTTTGGCTTTATTAGACCCAAAAAATTATTCCCCCTCCCTTTCTTTTTGTTTTTTCGGTTTTGACCCAATTTTTTTAATTATATAATTTTTAGTATTTATCATATAATCTAATTAGAACTTACCTCCTTAAGTTTATTTTTGTATACGTATTAATGATTTAATAATTAAATGTACATAATGGAGAAAATACATATAATCATCAGACATAAAATACATATACATATAATCATCATACATAAAATAAATATACATATAATTGATCTAATTAGATACATAATAAATAATTAAATGAAGAATTTTTTTATAAATAGATTTTCATTTTTAAAGCTATTAAGTTAACCATATATATACATTTATATTTTTTTTTATAATTTTTAAAAATTACAAATTAAATTATATAAACCTTGAATATAGATGATAATAAATATTTTTCGGTAGCATCCTTATTATTCTTTTTTGCAATGATTAATATGTTAAATAATGTCTTTTAGGGATATGATGCATTGATGATGATGTTTACATTTATTACAATTTTTTCAATTTTTTTTGAGCCTTCTATATAGTGTTTTGGGCGTATCGGCCAATACCGCGCCGCGATGCTGCGACTGATGTGTCTCAGTGACCCCCGAGTCAAGGGCCGATACCATGACCTTGAACCATGTGATCGTAAAACTCGACACAAAATTCGAACAATGATAAAAAATAACACGTACATTTTTTAAAATATGGACTACAAAAATCGCCATCATATCAATGTTGGCAATATCATTTAAATTTGTATTGATAGCTGTAGTAAATACTCTGTAGTGATGTGTTATTGCGTCATTGCTCTTGATCATTCTCTACCCAATATTGTCTGCCATTTTTGTATGTGAACCATAGCACTCCTTCAACAATAGTGAATACCTAATCCCCCATATGGAAGCTTCCGAGTTTTTCGTGATAAATTTACTTCACTTGGATGTGGAGAAATTTTCAGGTCAACATGCTTTCATCTCACTTCCAGTCCTCCTTTTGCTACCATGGGCTTCTCTCCCCTGTTGGAACCATTGATCGCCCACCCACCAAAAAAATTGCAAAAGAAAGATCAGATACAAGGACTGAATGAGTGTTTATGTGGATAAAGATATAACTTATGATTTGCAAATGGGGTTCTTACACATTGTTCTACCAGATCTGACAGACTACTATACATTTATTAACTATGGACTGTAACATCTATTGGTTTAACGGTTCCCTGAATTTTGAACCGTGTCCACCTTTTCGTTTGTAGCTTATTGATAAGGTGAAAACCTTAAAGAAGCTGTTGTACCATTCAATGTTTTGTGATTTTAGAGGGTTAAGTTGGTAAGTTGTATAGTCCTTTGGCTTTTTGACTTTTGATGTTATGGGATCTAACTCGAAAGTCCTTCGAAACTTGATTGAAGAACTAGCTTTTATTAAAGAAGCTATAGAGGCAATTATGAAAATAGTTTGGAATGCTCGTTGGGTCTATTGATATTTCTGTTTGTTGGATGGTTAAAGAAGTTTTGTTTAGGACTATCTGATCTGAACATTAAACATCAGTTGCTAACATGCAGCTGCTATACAATGTTTGAAGAGGAAGAGGCTCTATGAACAGCAAATTGAGAATCTTGGTAATTTCCAATTGCGCATCCATGATCAGGTTAGCTTGATATTTTAACTTCTGGATGGGTTGCTTAGAATCCAATGAATGCTGGATGAATTTCCTCTTGCATGGGATGATTTTGTAATTCATATGTTATGTATGAATTCTGCAGATGATTATGTTAGAAGGTGCAAAAGCAACAACTGAAACTGTGGACGCATTGAGAACTGGATCAGCTGCAATGAAGGCAATGCAGAAAGCCACGTAAGTAGCAGTTTGCTTTTTCTGTTCTCTCTCTCTCTCTCTCGTTTTTATGTGTGCTGTAGTGCCCTTAGGGCATTGAACTTCCGAAAAATAGTAGGCATCTTCATTTCTTAGCTAAACTCTTATTTGCACTTCTATTTCAATGCTTTATATTGAATATTGTGTGGAACAATAGAAAGTTCACCTTTTAGAAATTTTTGGTTGACACGGTTCTTTGGAAATGGCATTTAACAGGAATATTGATGATTTAGACAAGACAATGGATGAAATAAGTGAACAGACTGAGAACATGAGACAGATACAGGAAGCATTGGCTACTCCTATTGGTTCCACAGCTGATTTTGATGAGGTTTTTAATCTATTCTTAATCATTTAATTTCTTCAAAGTGCCAATTGGATGCATAGTGAACATTTTCTAAACATGTAGAACCCTATGGAGCAGTGATGTAAACTTGCTAGTGTCTAAACATCTTTTGCCATTGCAGGATGAGTTGGAGGCAGAACTCGAAGAATTGGAAGGTGCTGAGTTGGAAGAAGAGCTCCTTCAACCTGCTACGACAGCTCCTGTGGCTCCAGTGCACGTTCCAGCTGGCAGGCAACCAGCTCGGCCTGCTCCCCAGAGGCGCACAGCTGAGGAAGATGAGCTTGCTGCATTACAGGCAGAAATGGCACTTTAAGCAGGTCCCTTTTCTTTGTGTACTTGCTATCTATCGTTATGTCAGTGTGGCATCTAAGCTGTAGTAATGTATGTATGAGTGCAAAAGCTGAGTAGTCATTTGACTGATTGGTTCCAATTCGTCGGTGTACATTAGTTGACGTTGTTTGTTCAAGTGATAAGAGATGAAATCTCACTTGTATGCAGTTCACACTGTTGCTGTATTGCCTATATTCCATTTTGTTTCCGATGTAAAACATGTTATATGCTGAAAACCATTAAGCTCTTTTCCCGTGATACAAACATTTTTCTTTATGTTTCTGGCCTTTGGTCAACATTTTGAGAATAATTTCCTTCACAAATTTAATGGACAAATAACTACAAAAACAAAGTGTATGTAAACCTTTTTCTGCTGGGACCTAATTTACTATAGTTTTTGGATTGACTATGAGCCCAATCAAATATTGGAACTTGGTGTTAATCTCATAGTTCCATTGAAGCTTAGGTTGGTAAATTAGGTCTAAATAACATTACATATTCTGTTGTATGCTCATTCCATTCCATTTACTCCAATGAAAGTTTGGAGAATCATTGTTTTTAGTTTGAGGTGTTTTTCCCCCCCAAGGCTATTTGCTAGCCTAAGAACAGAGCATTTGCGAGTGATTATTTTTCACAAGTTTGGTGTTAGATTTCAGAACCAAAACTCAACTTCCATTGATTTTTTTTTACCTGCGCTGCAGGGTAATCTATTGAACCGGGGTGGTGTTTATGGTAGGTTTTTTCAGCTACAGGCATATTGCATAAGATTTTCGGTCGAATACTTCTCTCTATGTGAGAGATCACAGTTTTAACGTTCAAAAAAAAGACCATAGCATAGGTTAATGCCATGCCGTAATTAACCTCAAGATTTACTCCCAGTTATAATACCCTTAACAAGCATTTCTCTGGCTTCTTTGTTGTATTGTGGGTCGTTCAAGAAGCGGAAAAGCATACCTGACTAAATCAACTTGCAGTCGAGTATCATAATGTGATTCATTAAGTTTCTTCCGATGTAAAATAAATTTAGCCGTGACCACTTGGCCTATGAGTAAATATTTAATATAACAGTAAAATCATATCATTATTGTCACAAATTGTTATCATCTAATAAAAAAATAAGATTTACATAAAGTAAACCTCACTAATTCAATGTATTAATGATTAGATGTAATAGTTATTAGAGTAGTGAAGTTCACTTTGTTCATTTTTTATTTTCTTGGTGACACCAAATATACATTATATTGAATATTTTCTCTTGTCTAGCTGCCTGACCGATATTATAGAAGCAACTTATACTGGGAAAAAAGCTGGCTGGAAAGGCCCACGGATAACCCAGTAGCCTGTAGGATTTTGGGCCAGTATTTGGACAGACCCAACTAAGATCCAACGGACCTTGCCCATTGACCCATTAAAATTCAACCAACCAATTATGACAAATTTGGACCCCCAAAAAACAAATCAAAAGAATGGGGTGGCAAGGAGATGCTGGGAAGAGTAGATTTTTTTTTTTGAAAAAATAAAATAAAATAGAACAATACGATGGAAGGTAACAAAGAGCACTAAAAGAATAGGGTTTGAACTAATGCGAAATCAAATAGGAAAGATATACACGTGCTGACCATTAGAAATAGCACACTGTCTCTGCCTTTAGATCTGTGTACAGATGCGGCTTAGTGAATGATATAGGTAAGTGCCAAAGCAACCAGCATGAGCACATAAGCTATCCCTTGGTCTATTGCTACTCCTGCAAAACACAAAATTAATTGGTGAAATAATTTGCATCAACTGTTAACTAATCCAAGAACATGAAAGTACAACCACCCAGATAAAAAAATAAAAAAAAAAATCTAACTACCAAGTATTCCAAATCAAAAAAAAATCCGAGAGAGAGAGAGAGAGAACAAACCATCGTTTGTAGGGGCGGGGGCGGGGGCAGGGGCGGGTTCAGGGACCTGAGCATTTATGGAAGGAATTGCCAGAGCCAACAGAAGTGCGAAAACAGCCATTATAAAATATAGTCTGAACAACTCCATTCCAACTACCAACTCCAAACCTCCAACTCTTTTCTTTAGCAAACCTTTGCCTCTCCTTTCCCTTTCTTTACATTCACTACACAAATGTCTAAGCGTATGCACACGGCTTATTTTAGATATGGGATTTACAAGGACGCAGAGAAGAACCCCTCCTCTCCAATCTCCACACAGAATTAGGCCATTCTGGCTTTGCATTTCTTGTCAGATTAGAAAGGCAATGGACATATCTTGGCCGTTGACTGCTGCCACGTGTACGGACGACAATGGCTGCACGTTCTCAGTCCAGGTAGGGTTGAGCTGTGTGCAGTGGATTGTGGGCCTTGTCCAATGACCGGCAATTCCCTCCCCACTTCTCACATGCATTGATTGGTGGGAGAATCTTCTCTAATCTCCATTTAATTTTCATAACCGTATTGTTACGCTACGCTGACAAAATTTTGGGGTTTAGATTCCCTCTATTACTCCTTATCTTCAATTCTTCTTATCTTCGTTAGAATAAAAAATTTTAAATTTAGAGTAATATTTTGACAGTTATAGAATTGTCACCCCTAATACCACTCCCTGTTGGAACTGCTTTGATGCCAACCGTGTTGGAGTGAAAATTATTAAATTTAAGGTAATATTTTGATAGTTACAAGCAATAACTGGGTTACCACTCCCCTTCGAGGTGCTCTAATTCCAACTAATATTTCTTTCTCAAAAATATTCTTTCCCACTCCATACCTCTGCAAATAAGTATAGAAATTTATATTTTTTTTTGAATGCTGCATAACATTGATTCTGGAATGCCAATAACATTATCCTATATTTAGTGAAATGTTCTGTTTAACAGAATTGTCATCGTTCTTATTCTATTTTAATTGGACAAATCACAAATGATTTGCATTATTCCCAAGATTACTTGGAAATTCATTTGGATGTATAAATGAGGAAATATATTACTTCTAAGTGTTACCACAGAAACCAAAAGACCACCAAGTCCCATAAGCAAAAAATGCAAAAGGGACCAATAATCCTTAGTCTTTATAGAATTTAGGGTTAATGACTTTTTACCTCCATGTGTGTTTTTGACCAGAAGCACCTTACATACTTGATGTTTAAAACTAGAGCAATGCTATATGAATTTAAAAACTACACTTGATAATGTTAACCATTGATTTCACTGTGGGTCTCAACACTTATTAAGACCCACTACCTATTCAAGAGTTAAGATTATCAAGTCTAATTTTTAAGTCTATCTAACATTACTCTTAAAATTATACATATTGCTCCCTTATAAATATGTACCGAAGTGAAATAATTGACGCCATTAATAGAATTAAAAAAATTACCATAATGCCCACATTTTAAAATCAAAATTTTTGTCTAATTTATTTTTTAATTATAAAACTAATAGAACATAACAACAAACAAACACATTTCAATCAAATATGTTGAACCTCTTTTTCTCTCAAATGAGATTTTGATCCGAAGCCAAAAATCACTAAAATTATTCTTACATTTTTTTTTATTTGAGATTGATATCCTACCTATCTAGATATTATACCATATATTATAAAAAATATCTTAAGCACTTAGACAATGTTCTTTTGGTTGGAGGGAAACTTGGGCATGTGAAGCACACTTTTCATTAAATTGGATGATAAAAGTAACCATTTTACTTTAGTACATAATTATAAGAAAATAATGTGCATAATTTTAAACATTAAATAAGTAAGGTACTTTTAACTGAAATCACATGAACATAAAAATCAATTAACCCTAAAATTTAACTCTTACAATCATTTCATTAGGAGTTTCATTCTCAATGTTACCAAAAGCCTTGTATTTTATTTTATTCTATTCATCTTATCAAACACCGGGCCCAAATTTCAAAGTGTAACCGTGACAGTGAAGAGAAAATATTTAGGAAACTTACCTCATTTTTTAATAAAGTCAGGATACATGTCGGAACTCTATGGCCCATGGGAATTGACAATGAACTACTTGTCAAACTATTCCAACACCGAAAGAAGCTTCCATATTTTGGAAGCCGCCTCCCCTCCCCTTTCTTTGTAAAAATAATGCTAAATGAACTTAAAAATTAGACTTAAAAAATAGATTTGGTAATTTTAACCGTTGAATAAGTAGTAAGTTTCAATAAATGCTAAGACCTACAGTGAAATCAATAGTTGAGGTTATCAAATCTAGTTTTAAGTCTACTTTTTAAGTCTATGTAACATTTTTCTTCTTTGTAAATGTCCATTTAAGAGTTACGATAGTTTTGCTATCAGAAAATCTTTTTGGGTAAATTACCCAGAAATAAGAGCCACAAACTGAGTCGGTAATGGAAATGGATAATGTGTCAGCTGGGAACACCCTACTCTCCTCCGCCTCCCCCCAAAAATATAATGAAAGCAAAACAAACAAAGAACTGAAAAAGATTGTTGACGCAAATAGAGTAAATTCTACCATAAGAGGTGAAAAGTAACTCAATCTGATTCGCAAGGGCAAGCAATGATCCGAGAGTTATGTTGGCCTGTGACATAGCTCTGATGGCATATCACTGAAGTGGTAAATTAACAGCACTCAAGGGGAAAAGAGAGTGCCTATGTTTTTCATATTTTAGAAGCAACACTGGTCATCTGTTACTAATACATGTGATTCATATCTAAGAAAGCTTTTAAGCCACATACTATACCTATGGATTGCCTTCCAGCATCTGATCTCCAACTGGGCCAACAGGAACAACTGCTGCTGGTAACTCCAAATAGTCGAAGTCATCCGTTATACCTATCTGCAGTGAGATAAAAAGGAAATACCTAAGTTAAACAAAAGCCAAAAAGGAAAGAAAACATTAATGACCTTATTAATCAAAGCACAAATTACAATATCCATTTGTGAAAAAACGGATAGTGTTCAGGTTTTGTGGCAAGCGGTTGTGCTTCACAGTTCACAAATTGAAAGAGATTACGAATATACCTCATTGTAGAGGTGTTCAAGCTGCTCTTTGGCCTGAGGAAAGTTGTTTGTACACCATTGACGCAGCGTGAAGATGTTATCTATGTAGTTTTAGCATGCGGTAGTCAGGAAGAGAATGCCGTGAATTTCAGGGTTATTTATCCCCAAAGAGAAGGGAAGAGAACTGGACTACGTGATAAGAAGTAAAACCTGTCCATCTGTTCGCTGCAGCATGGCCGACTTTGATAGCTTCCTCTGCAGCAGCAATATCAAAAGTAAGAATGCTTTGATGCTCATAAGGTTTTAGAATGGTTGGTCAGTTGAAGTAGATTCCCAAAGGATAAAAAAGGCATTGCAGTAGTAATATAGTTGAAGTGCAAAAGAAAGCATAGCATTTTTTAACTCATTGCTTCAAAGGCAGCTGGATCATTGTCTGCATACTGTCCCATCTCGCCCTGAAAAATGAGATTGTAAACTAAAGTCAAAAGAGATATAATACATTTCATAGTGCTTAATGGAGGGAGAAGGAAGAGTATATGACCCAAACCTTTAGCTCATTATACTTTTGTTCAATAGCCTTAAGCTCATCTAGTGCTTCCTCTCGTTCATCCTGGCACAATTATGGTAGTCAGATATGGAGAAGGCTCAATACTTCATCCTTACAAATAACCCATAGCTTTACATGCAGGAAGATATGGAACTCTATGTACTTACAGACTCCTCTCGCCCCTTCTTTAAAGCATCAGACTGTTCAACAAGTTCTACAAGCCTCTTCTTACTGCTTTGTAGCTCAGATTCAAGTTTTCGATAAACATTTCTCAGCTGCAAAAATGAAGTATGTCAATGCTTAAAGAACATAGACATGAAATCACTCCCACAGAATTCAAGGTAGGAAGCGAAACATCTACATTACCTGGTTTCCAGTGCAGCTAGGAAGACTCCAAAAGTATACCTGAATTTTCACCAATTATTAGTGTTATTAGACTCTAAATATGAAAATGAGTAGAGTTTGTGAAATTCACACGGGAAAGCAAAACATTTCATGTTGCAGAGTTTCAAAAAAACACATCTTATTCCTATATGTTACACCATTGGACAAGTTTTACTCACAGAAGTTCCTATCTTGTCTTTAGAGACGAGGTCATCATCCACTAAACTTTGAACAACATCTTTGACAGACTGACTGATAACACCTTTCTTGGGACCTAACTTCTCAAGTTCCTTCAGCTGAAACTCATCCAAATACAAGATGCATATTGATATCGGTAATATAATGGGTTGATAAATAAATCCAGATCGCAACTGACTAAAGGCAATCATACAAATGAAAGTTCACTAAAAGGAGATACAAACAACAAACACACGCGCACATCTCTTAGCAAATAAGATGCGTAGAACTTTGTCACTTCATTGTCAAGGCACACAAGGGGCAGACAAGGAATAACCCTGCACCCAGTGTAAATCTAAAGTAGCATCAGGCAGAATTTTGAAACATTCAATATAAATGTTTTGGAATCAGTGATCAGCTGCACCGTGAAATCACAAAAGAGCATAAAAAAATGCCGAGGCATGGCCCCAGTGTTATTGCATTTGCCATTATTACTTTACTGACTGTAGTAGTAGTTGTATAAGAAGAAGAAGAAGAAGAAGATAATGTTAATAAATTAAGACCTTAGAGAATTTTCAAGTGTTCAACTCTTAGTAATGGTGCACATGAATAAAACTGAAATGAAAGAGCACATAAAACTATGGCAGAGTTTTCCCATTCTAAAAAGTCATCATATGTGCTTATGAGAATAAACGAAGAAGGCATATCATTGCAGATATTCCCGATGCTAAAAAATCATGATAAGCACTTATGACAGCAAACAGAAGCATTAATCCTGCCAGGCATAACCAATTCTAGATGCAACTTAAGTTTGTGCAAACCATTCGATTATCCATATAACTTGACTAGCTCATAATTCAAACTTAACTACCAAAGATGAATCAAAGTGCAAAATCCAGAAAGATAAATCACGTGACATAAAAAAAAAGAAAAAAAAAAAGAAATAAGAAGCCACCAATGCCTCACATGATGCAAAATAAAATGTAAGAGGAAAAAAATGCTTTGATAAATATGCCAAAGAAATCTTTAAAACATTGAAACATGAACAAAATTTGAAGAAATGAAATTCACACAAGCCAACGACAATGTCAATTACAAAAGCCCTTGTCCTGTGAATGATCAGAAGTAAACAACACGGTACAGCTCAAATGGTAATAAGCCACGAATGTAAAATACTCACAAGATAGAAGTCTTGTGAATCATAAAAGATTTGAAGAATCCTTTCACGCTTTCCATCCAAGGAAAGTCCTCTTTTCTTAGACTGTTTGTCACCAATTAAACTGAAGTTAGATCTAATCTACCAACAGATACATTATTTCAGCAGAGCAAAATCAAAATCCAACACGAGAATTGGGAGAAGCTGGAAAATCAACAATTCATCCAAATCAACTTCAATTTCAAGCTCCATTATATCCAGTCATAGAAAAACAACAATAAACATCCACTTATTCAGGTGCTTATTCTAGATTCTCATCCTGATGTGTGTGTGATGCAGAGAGATCGCATGTTAATTAACAATTTTTCTCATAATCTAAACTGTAACAGAGTTCAAAAAATTAAGAAATCACACACAAAAACTTGTATTCGTAACCCTAATTTTGAATCACGGAGTGAAATAAGCAAGATTGAGCTCGTTAATCCGAAAGACAAATAAGATCGAAATTGGCAGAACTATAGCGATTCGATTCACTGAGATGAGTTCAATCGATAGGTAGACGTACCATTTGCGCTTCTATGTGCTGAGGTCTTGCAGAGCAAAAGCAGATAAATTGTTTACAAGTGTGTCGAAGAAGACTCAAGATGAGTCACATATATAGTGTGGGGTTTCGATTTGGCGGGAAAGGTTTCAGATATGCATTTACATATACCTCCCACAGCTGAAATTACGCATTGGATCCTATATGTTCTACAAAATATTATTTAAACAAAAAATATCAACAACATTTGGTGACTTCTTCCGACACAGCTATTGAATAGGTTGTAAATCCTAATAAATATTGAGACCGGCAGTTAAATCAATAACAATAATAATGAAATTCAACAAATATATATATATTTTTTTTCAAGTAGCATCGCTCGTTCCAACATTTTCGTTGTATCTGTCACTATAGAATACATAAGAAAAATTGGATCTTAGCCCCTTAAGGGTTGGATTGTAGTGGCGGGCTCTTGGGTCATTCGGACCTGTATCTGGTAAAACTATAAAAGTGGTGGCCTGGTTGGCCCAACACCTCTTATTATGCAGTCCTGTTTGTGCTAGCGTTTTGGCACTTGCCTTATGGTTCTTAATGATTTTTCATTGAGATGCCTTTTAAAAAGATTTATTCTCTAGATTTTAAGCAGGACTTAGAAGAAATTAATAGAAAGGAGCTTTTATCCCAAATCAAGGGGTTTTAAAAAATTAATCACAAAAGAGGGCTGGTTTGAAAGTATTTTCCAAACCCAGAGACTTTTAAAAATATTAGTTAGTATGACGTTTTTGAGTCCAAAGACGTTAGTTCGTATGATGGGTTTAAGCTAAAAACGTCATACCAAATAACGTTTTTTTGGATTACTATAGCCCAAGCCCAACAACTAAAAACGTAAGATGTCAGACGAAATGATATGTTTTGGATCAATATGACCCAAGCCCAAAACATAAATGCGTCAGTCCAAATGACGTTTTCACTAAAAACTTCATATGGACTGACATTTGTAGGCTTCCAATATCAAATTTTCTTCTTTCCTTTTTCCCTCTTTTTTCCTTTTCTCTTCTTCCCCCAATTCTGTCTGAGCCCTAGGCGAAATCGGCGAAATCAGTCCACCACCTCCACCAGCACACCTCCACCACTAGCTGACATACCCAGTGAAAACCACCACCTGATCAGTCCACTTCCACCAACGAAAAACATCACCTCCATCAACAAAAATCACCACCCACCTTCACCAGTCCACCTCCACTAGTACACCTCCACCACCAGGCCACCTCCTCCAACAATCAGTCCACCACCAGCTGACTTCCCCAACAGTTGGTAAGTTTTGAAGCTTCTGCTCTTATATAGGTTAGGCTTATAATGTATGTATTGGCATTTTGTTTTGAATTTAGTTTCAAGTTTCTCTTGGGTGCCTTTATATTTTTAGGTGTTTGGATTATGTTGGACTATGCTTATTCAATCTAATAGTTTGTAGCTCTGCATATTTATGGGCCTTTTTTTTTCAATTTATTTTTAAGTTTGTCTTGGTTGCCTATATACAAATAGAAGCTCGTTTTAAATGATCTAAATTAAGTTTTGGTCATTTTTTTTGGCTATTCCTCGCTCTTATTTTTATTTGTTTTGTTCTTCAATGACCAAATGAATGAAAGAGACATGAATCAATGAGTGTTGAGTCCTTGTCAATTAGTAGGTGTTTTAGTTGGACTTTGAACTTAGACTTTAAGTTGGACTTTGAACATAAGACAACTTGAATAGTGATATTGTTTATTCAATCTTCAGTAAGGGATGTGTAAGTTTAGTTTGGGATTAATTTATGGGATTTTCTTAGTTGAACCCCAATGTAGTGCTAGCATTTGAGAGGCGTTATGGACATGAGATTGAAAAGGTTATAAGGACAATTCTATGTGCACTAAAACTTGCACTAAATCAATTGCAGTTGTTAGATTATTAATGAGACCCATAAAAATGTTATTCATTGGTCATTTGTAAATGCTATCACTATCTTGCTAGAGATAGAAGACTTTTTTGGTCTTCTCATCTACAACAATAAATGCTTGATCAATGTTGTTTTATTGATTGATTTTCGTAAAATATGCAAAATTTGTGAAAGAATATGAATCTTTCAAACTAATGTGTTGGATTGGACAACTAGACTGGTGTGAATTAGTTGGAAATCAGAGTGTGTGCACTGTGCAGTCTATTGATGAAGTTCTCAAAAACTCAGAATTTTCTATCATTCATGGGAAAGAAATTGGATGACTTTTATTGTTAAGCTCCAAGTAATAGTTCTAGTATATAAGGTTTTACAAAGCAATGGACGCTCTAGTAAATCATTTGGCATTTATGGCGTGATTAGTGAATGTGGGAATTACAAAAGTGCCATTTGCAGATTGATGTCTAGTAAATCATTTGACATTTATTTTCGTGAATCTTACTTCTATTAAGTATTCATTCATTTCTACCTCATTATCACAAGCTCGCTCTCTCAATCTCAGTAATAGCATTGTTGTTATGTCTCTTAGTCAGCAAGCACCACTAATGTCACTGTTTGTATCAAAGTTCATGGAATTGGTTTTTCCTTCCAATTTGTTTCTTTGTTTGCTTGACACTTCCAACCTTTATGTTTTTGTATTTTATCAATTCTTGTATGTTGCACGCATTAATATTCATTGGGACATTGATTTACTATGGATCTATTCTTCCTGAAGTATTAACCATTTCTATCCATCCCCAGGTTTTTTTGAATTCAAAACTTATTTCACAATGGAAACTAATTGAAATGGTGAGAAAAGAAGTTACCATTTTACTGTATTGGGGTGGAAAAATGGAATATGGGTTGGAGGGTTTCTCATATAGTTGTCCTTCTAAAGGTGGAATTCTTATCAATAGTGGTACACAAATGACAGAATTATTCGCCAAAATTTATACTGTAATGGGGTTGGACAGGGTACATAACAAGATGAAGTTGACTTGTAGATATCCTTTTACATTTAGAGCAAGACCAAACATAAATACATATGTAGGTTTGGAAATTATAAACGATAAACTAGTGAAGTCTGTGGTTAATGTGGTACTTGACAACCCCAACATTGCTAGTGTTGCTTTGTACGTGGAGACAGAAGACATCAATACTGGCGTAGGCAGTAGTCAGATCGGAGGATGCAAAACAACAACTGTCATGTCTTACATTGAGTTGCTTAGACGAGAGATGGGTTCCTTGACATTTGCAGTTTTCGGTGTGACGGGTGAATGTTCAACTCCCGTGGGGATGCAGATAATGGATGAGTCTAGACAGTACTTTCACACTCAACAAAAAAATGGAACCACAACATACGGTGGGTACTCGACCAACAATTCACTGAGTCAGAATTTTCAAATGGGTGAGATGGGAATTGAGTTGGGTGAATAAGATGATGTTCATCAACCAATAATGCAACAAAGCCCAATCTGAGAATATGAAGAAATGTGTGTCAATGATCGTACAGATATTTCCGATGATGACGACATAGAAGAAGAGTTTGAGGAAGTACTGATTATTAAGCCGGATGACGAAGATGAGAATGACAAAGACTTTGAGGTTAACCATGTGGTGGAGATGCATAAACCTTACTCAACCTCATTCACAACCACTGAATTTGGTCAATATAGTAAAAGAGATAGTTTAGTACCGTCATCTAAACAAAATTTGTGAGATCCAATGAACATGGAGTTGGCTAAGGGCATAGTTTTTAAGGATAAAACATCATTGATTAGGGCTATTAAATGGTATTCCATCAAGCTGAATCAGGATTATGTCGTTGTCGAGACGAACACAACGGTGTGGGCTATACAGTGCAGCATGTACAAGCAACCTAATTGTATATGGAGACTACATGCTCATTTTAGGAAAAAATTGAAAATATTTCGGATCACAAAAAATGATGGACCCCATATTTGCTTTTATCCTAGAATGAGTCACCACCATCGACAGTTAGACTCTGACTTCATCTGTCATAATATATTGGGACTCGTGGGGGATACCCCACAAACAAAAATGTCGACAATTCAAAAAAATATAAAGAAAAAGTTTAAGTATGATATTTCCTATAAGAAAACATGGATTGTGAGGAACAAAACTATTGCTAAGATTTTCAGTGATTGAGACTCATCATATGACATGTTGTCAAAGTTTTTAGGTGCCATCAAGAAGTATAACCCTAGCACAATTGTGAAGTGGCGGTACAACTTTGAATCTCCTGAATATAATATTTTTTTACGAGTTTTTTGGGCATTCAAGGCCAGCATTAAAGGGTTTAAATATTGTTGACTTGTTGTCAGTATTGATGGGACATTTTTGCATGAAAATTACAAGGGAAAGCTGTTAGTGGAAACTGCTTTTGATTTTAATAAGCATTTGTTCCCCATTGCATTTGCTCTTGTGGAAGAGGAGAATCAATCAAGTTGGGCTTTTTTCCTATATTACCTCCAGCAGATAATTCTTAGACATCGGGAAGGGATATGTGTAAAATTTGATAGGCACTTGGGGATCCTTTCTGCTGTGAACGTGGAAGATTCTAGGTGGCATCCACCACATGCTTATCATCACTTTTGTCTTTGCCATGTTTGTAGTAATTTTAATACATAGTTTAAGGATGGGCATTTGTACGATCTTATGTAGAGGGCTAGCAAGCCAAGACATGTTTGTAAGTTCAATGATTTGATGACTCAGATACACACCATCAAAGAGAAAGCGTATAAATACTTGACTGATATATCATTAGAAAAGTGGGTATTAGCCCATGATAGAGGACAATGATATGACATCATGACAACCAACATTTCAGAGGTTTTTAATAGTGTTCTCCAAGGTGCTAGATATTTGCCCATAATTTCTTGTGTGCAGTTGATATTTTAGCGGGTCATTAAGTATCACTTTGAACATTGAGACAAAGTGACAAAATGGAAAGAAAATGGGATGGAGTTTTCTAAGACTATTATGGAATGATTACAACATGCACAACAAATTAGTCGTGTCCACCACTTCATGCCAT